ACATTAAAGAATAAAGATACCATGGAAATAAAGCATTTACGAGGCGATATATACGAATCTCTAAAGGCCATAGCCACCCAAAGAACCACGCAAATTATAGACGCAGGGAAAGATTATATTCCCGTAACAGGAAAAGTATTGGATGCCGAAGACCTATTGTACGGCGTGGATTCGGTATTGGATGGATGGTTAACCACCGGACGGTTTGGGATAGAATTTGAAGAGAAATTCGCTCAATATTTTGGATCTCAAGCTTCGTTATTGGTCAATTCAGGCTCATCGGCCAATCTTACGGCATTTTACGCCTTAACATCACCCAAATTGGGTGAAAGACAATTGAAACCTGGCGATGAAATCATAACCGTAGCCGCAGGGTTTCCCACTACCGTGAATCCCATGATTCAATACGGTTGTGTGCCTGTGTTTATCGATGTAGACATTCCTACCTATAATATCAAAGCTGAATTAATAGAGCAAGCCATAAGCCCCAAAACCAAAGCCATAATGATTGCCCATGCTTTGGGAAATCCTTTTAATTTGGAAGTGGTTACCGCTATTGCAAAAAAATACAATTTATGGTTGATAGAAGACGATTGTGATTCTTTAGGGGCTACCTATAATGGTCAAAAAACAGGCACCTTTGGCGATTTGGCCACCGTGTCATTTTATCCCGCCCATCATATTACCATGGGAGAAGGGGGTGCGGTATTGGTTAACAATATCAAACTTTACATGATAGCCAAGAGCTTTAGAGATTGGGGTAGAGATTGTTATTGCGAACCAGGCTGTGATAACACCTGTAAAAAACGTTTCGATTGGTCTTTGGGCGATTTACCCCATGGTTACGACCACAAATACACCTATTCTCATATTGGGTTTAATTTGAAAGTAACCGATATGCAAGCCGCCATTGGCTTAAATCAATTGAAAAAAGCCGATGTGTTTGTTCAAAGACGTCGAGAAAATCACGCCATGTTTATACCCCAAACATAGCACAAAATCGTTGTACCCATAGGAAGAATAAATTTTCATGATGTGCCATAAAATCGGTTTTCCACCAATTTCTACCATAGGCTTGGGTCTGGCCTCGGTTTCCTCCATTAGCCTTGTACCCAATCCTCCTGCCAAAATAACTACTTTCATTGTATTAATTCAATATTTATCATTCTTAAGAATTGCTTCGATTGTATTCATCTTCCAGTCGAATAATGTCATCTTCGCCAAAATAGGTTCCAGTTTGAACCTCAATAAACACCAAAGGGTTTTTGGTTAAATTCATGATGCGATGCTTAGCCCCCTGAGGAATAAAAACACTTTGACCATAGGTTAAATCGATGGTTTCACCATCTAATACCACCACGGCTTGCCCTTCAACAATGGTCCAACATTCTTGTCGGTGGTGGTGGTATTGGTAGGATAGTTTTTGGCCAGAACACACTTCCACACGTTTAATTTTATGACCGAGTTCATCTTCGAGTACATAATATTTACCCCATGGACGCTCCCCTATTTCAATATAATCTTTCATTGTGTTTTATTGTT